AGGATTGGAAATAGGCCATGATCTCTGGCTTTTGGGCCCATCCAGGGTCTGAGAAGTTCAGGTTGGGAGGATAAATTTTTAGATGAAAAGCAGGAGGAGGGCTCCAGAGTAGAGAACGGTGGCTTCTCACTTGGGACTCCTGTACCCATGGCTCACCTCTTGAGGGGCCCGTCCCCACTGTCAGTGCAGGAAGAGGTGGTCTGTGCAGGGCAACCACGCAGGGGCCCTTTGGGTAGCGGGCTTCCAGGCAGCCCTCCCCACTCTCACGCTTCCTACCTCAGCCGGTTCTTGGCACGCAGCCCTTCTCCCCAGATCCCTGACACAGGCTAATTGCTTGTAACAAAACTTGGCCTTAGAAATGTCAGGCATAATGGGAAGGGGGAGGAGGAGGAAGAAGAGAATCAAAAACAACAAGAGGAATTTGGCAGAAGCCACCGCAGAGGGTGCAGCCTCCGGGGCTCCCAGGGCCAGCCAGGTTCATTAACGGATGTGGATTTAGAAGGTCACCACCTTGTACAGGCAGTTGCTCCAGCCCTGCGGACGCCAGGTAGCAGCTGTCATGAGAACACCTTGGAAAGGGAAAGGAAGTGTCAGGGGGCCTCACAGCACTTCAGAGCCGCTCCGGGGCCTGGCCGAGGCTCCTGCCCTCCTCCAAACAACAAAGTCAAACATTTATTAAGCCAGTTCCTTCCAGTCCGCTGGGCCCATCGCTGACAGGAGGGAGCTTCCTTCGAAGGCCTGGCCTTGACTCAGGGAGGCCATGGGGGCACTCTTGTGACCTCTCACCTCCTGCTGTGGCTGCTCTGCGGGGCACGGGACTGGGAGCTGAGAAATGACAAGTGTGACCTTGGGTCTGCCCCCCAGACATGCTATTTTCAGTACTTTCCTGATCTCTGTTTTTAGATCCTTGTTTTCACAGTCGTCCAAAAATTGGACAAAGCTGATCTCACTAAAGCATTAATAATGGGATTTGGCTTCTAGAGTCTGCGCATTTTCAGTGGAGAGATCTGGCCAGGGGCACTGCCCCAGGCAAGGGGAAGCTGGAGCTTCTCAGCTCAGCCTCAGCTTCTCCCTTGGCTTTTCTGCCCCTTCTGCAGTGAGCCCAGCCTAACTCTAGCCCTGTGGGCACTGTGAGGCCCCAAGCTGGACCAGAGGGTGGATGTGTTGCGAGGGACTGGGAGGAGTCTGCTTCTCCCCGTGCAGATGTCAAAGTCAATCATTTCTGAGGTCAGCTCTTTGCCCCTTTGCTGAAATCCTATTGTGTGTTCGGAGTCAGATCCTCGGCACGCAGCTAAACCCACCCAGCTTGTATGCTGGGGTTCCAGGTGGATGGTGTGGAGATTCAAAGCCAGGCTGCCTGGGTTTTCTTTCTATCCCTGCCACCTCCTAGCTGGGCAAGTCACCTTCCCTCTTTATGCCTCAGTGTCCTCACCTGTAAAGTGGTGAGTACGTATCCACCTTGTGGAGTTATGACGAAGATTAAATGAGATGTGAAACGCTGAAGAACAGTGCCTGGCACCAGCAAGTGTGATAGAAGAATTTATTAGTAGTGTACATTGCTAATTGTCTGAAATCTTTGCACTCCAAGTATTAAGGGCAGCTCTCCTTTCCCTAAAAACTCACTCCTAGGAGAGGACCTGATTGCACAGCATCATCCAGTGGGGATTTATTGAGCATCTACTGTGTGGGTGTTAAGTGCAATGTACACAAAAATAGACAAGGCCTCCACAGATGCCAGCCTTCCAGCTTCCTCAGTGGAAGCAGATTTTGCACTCGGCTTCCAGCCAGCACGTGTTTGGAGAGCTCCCTGGGTGGTGAATGGGGCTGGGGCAGCCACAGGATAGGAATGGGTGGAGGGCTCGGTCCCGGCTGCTGTCAGGTGCTGGAGCCAGGCACTCCTTAGGATAAACGTCGCTTTCTAAGGGTGAAAGAGACATGTCAACTAAATTCAATATGTAGACCTCATTTGGATCTTGCTTTGAACAAACCAACCATAAAACCACATTTTTCAGATAACTGGGAAAATTTGATCACAGAGGGGTTGTTAGGTGTGACAGTGGTATTGTGGTTGTGTTTCAACAAGTCTTTCTTGATAAGAGAGACACATTTAAGTGTTTATAGATGAAATGACACAATGTCTGCAATTTGCTTTAAAATATTTCACTGGGGTTGAGAGGAGGAAGGATGTGACCAGACTGATCAAACGTGGATAACTGTTGAAGTTGGGTAAGGCTGCAGGGGGATTTGTATCACAATCCCATTTTGTGTCTTTGAGAATTTCCATAATAAAAAGTTAAAATAAAAACACAATGGAGATGCAGCTGCTTTGGTCCAAGCAGGGCCCTGTGTGACCCTCAAGCCTCAAGGGTGGGCAAAGTCACCTGTTCCTTATACTTGTGGCCCCAGCCTAACCTCCTTCTCCGTGTCCTTACCATGAAGAGCACACACTTCAACAGTGAACTGGTGGCCATGGAGGCAGGAATTCAGATTTTTGAAGGAGATCTGTAAGGAAAATCTGGGAATGGGGAGGGCCCATCTTCAGGCTGAGCTCCCCAGGCTGTGTGAGGCCTTCACTCTTGCCCCACTGATCTGGCACTACAAAGACTCTCTGGGCCAAGGAATTGCTCTTTCACAGCCTCAGGCACATGCGAGGAAAGGTTTCCACTGCCTTGAAAGGCCCCTGGGTCCCTCAGCTCTGTCACTGTGCCATTTTCTCTAGAAAAGCCTATCGCTGGAGTGGAGAGCTGTCCCATCCAAGCCCCAGGGAGGTCCTCCAGGCGTCCTTGCTGGAGAGATCCTTTTCCTGAATGGAGATCTCTATTGCTTTGGAAGTGTCTACCTGCATATCTTAGATGCTGGCTCACACCCCCAGAACATCTCCAGAAAGTTACTGAAGATCCATGTTCTTCTCCTTCTCTCCTTCTCTGAGCCTACTCCACACACTCCCATTTCAGAGCCTGGGAGAGCAGGCAACGTTTACCACTGTGCGCAAGAAAACCCTGCTGGGTTGAGGTGGACTGGAGGATCCATCTCCGAGGATTAGAGGTCTCCAAGCCAATACGACTATTAGGATTTGGAGGCACTCTTCGGTGACCTGACTTGTGTCATCCTGGACAATTCCTTCTACCTCTTTTGAATCTAACTGCTCTCCTTTGAAGGACAGGAGTGATAGGAGATCTGGCTGCACGACTCTGACCGGTGGCCAGGAATCCTCACCCCCATGGTCCTTCAAGACTGAGAGTTGAGTGGTGCCCAGGTTAATGCTGCCTGTTGTACCCATGAGAAAAGGAGATGTGGTTTTGATCAGGTCTGCCAGAGTCTGCATTCCAGAACCTTCTTAACAATCCTCACGATATCAACAAATCAATCACCAGGCTTCAGTTAAGCCAGCTACTCCCCAGGCAGCTATATTTCTTGCCATTTGGAACCTTATTCTGTCTACCTATAATTCTGGTTTCTCATGTCATGCTAGCGGTAAGTGGAGGAGGGGGGTGGACAGGAGGGAACTGAAGGTTGTCTGGCTGGAGCCCTTCCTAAGCAGTTGTTGGCAGCCTAGCCCAGGTCCCTCTGGCATTGGTTGTGTGGTCCCTTTGGTGTCTGGCACAGTCACTACCCATAACCAGTTTGGCGTGGGGGTTACAAGGATGGCTGTGGAGCCTCTGGGGTCAGGACACTTGGAGCCCACTCTCAGCTCAGCTGCTGACTAAGGTTCTATGTGCTACGGCTGCCCTTTAACCTTTCTGGGCCTCAGTTTTCCCATTTGTGAAGTGGGGATAATAACATCCCCTACCTCAGAAAGTTTTTTGGTAAGAATTAAATGAGTCAAGCTCTCAGAAAACTGCCTGGCATGAGATAAGGGCTCAACATCTCTCAGTTGGGACTGCGAATGCTCACTTGCTGCCTGCCCGATGCTCTGTGACTTCTGACTAACTGTCTCCGGCAGGTGAGATTGTGATGGGAGTGGAGGGTGCAGAGTTATTGCATGGTGGGAGAAAACAGAAAGCAGTGTTAGTTATTTTATTAGATCACAAGACAGGAAAGAAGCCTGCATCCTGAGTTCTACCCAACATCCCAGGGAGCAGCCCATTCTTGCATCTCTCCTTGGCCGCAGTCCTGAGACCATGTTCAGGGCAAGTCTGCTCTTTCTGCTGACTTCTGTATTAGGTCCCTCACCTAGTTGCTGCCACTTGACTTTTTCCTTGGCAATTAACCCAAAAAAACTGCCTGGGAGGGGAATTTGTTTCCTTGAATGCCTAATTCGCTGGGTGTCTACTTTGTGCTCCCACTTGGCCAGGTTCTGGGGACTCGTGAATGCATAAGACAGAGATCCAAAGTCTCCCAGGCCTCAGGATCTACCAGGCCCATAGCTCTCATCCGTCAGCCTCACCCTCTCCAACCCAGACACGCACCAAGCACCCTCAGAGCCTTCACCCCTGCTCTTCCCTGAGCTCAGAGCCCTCCCCCCACCCACATATATACACACGACTCCCTCCCTGGCTTCCTGCAGGTCTGTGTATGAAAGTCACCTCCTTAGAGAAGCCTCCTCTGATTTCGCTCTTTAAATCAGCCCTCCACAATCTGATCTGTTCCCTGCCTTTTGGTCTTCACAGTACTCATCACTCACTATTTGATATTCCATTATCTATTCATGGGATTTGCTTTTTATCTGTCTCTCCCAGAATTGAATAGACGTCAGATATTCTTAACCTTTTTGTGTTCCATGACCCCATCAATAGTCTAGGGGTCTACAGATCATCCCTTTTCAGAGTAAGGTTTTATAAATATATAAGAGAGAACACATAGTATCACAAAACAAACCAACTATATTGAAATATGGCTATCAAAATGTAAAAGAAACCTCAAAATTATGATACAAGGATTACATATGCTTATTTGTTAATTCATAAAATAACAGAATCTAAAAGTGGCCTCCCAATTTCTACTTTTAAGGTAATGCTATTTCCAATAAATATTTCTAGACCTACAAAAGAACTATAATGTGATATGAAAAGACTTATTTTTATTAATAACAAAGCCACAGGCACTGCTAATACTAGTGTGGTTTGTTGCCTAAATTCATAATTGAAGAAAATGCTATATTTTTGCAAGTTTAGTGAAAAGGAAAATGCATTTTCTGCCTCACTCAAGTTCAAGATTCCCTTGAGTTCTTCAGGTCAGGTTGAGCTCTTTAGGCCACAGGTGTTGTTTTCTCTCCTGCTAGCACCAAAAACCACGCCTGGAACATCACCGGTGCTCAATAAATATTTCTGGAACAAACAAATACTTATGTTACAATCTGGTAGTTAAAGGGTTAAAATTTGTTTCCCAATTTTCACATTCATTTTAATTATAAAATGATAACAATAGGTACTATGCAATGATTGCTTTCTGTATACCAGACCCTCCTTTATAAGCATTATCTCATTTAATTCTTCTAATAACCCTGCAGTGTGTACTATTAATACTTTCATTCTGTGGGTATAGAAACTGAGACAAAGTTTAAGCAATCTGTCAAGGCCACAAGGCTTATATTAGGACTCAGATCGGTCTGTGTTCTTAAATTATTAAGTTTAGCTTCCTATGAGGGTCTCAGCCTCCAGGACTGGCCCACAGTTCCAACAGGTCCTTCCCTGATCAACTTCATTGGGTAGAATTCGCACCAGCTTTCTTCTACCCTGGTCCTCTTATGCTACCTGTGGTGCCAGCGGCGGGATCTTAGCCACTCACCCAGCTTAACACAACTACCTAAAAGCTAATGACCCCCAGGCTGGTATTACCAGGATCAATTTCTCTTCTGCTCTCCAAATCTTAAAGTCCACTCTCCTATTGAATTCCTTCGCCTAGATGTTCTTTAAGCCTACATTAACGTAAGAGTCACCTTCACCACAAAGACTTTCCTGACTCTTCCCAGGTAGATCTGCTATGTTGTGTCCCCATTGTTTTCTGCACACACCCTACTACTACTCCAGTAATATTGTATTCGTTTATGTACCCTCCTCTTTTTATCATTCTGGTAGCTCCTTGATAACACAGACTATTTCCATTTTGTCTCTAAATCCTAGGACATAGTGCAATGTCTGACATAGTAGGAAACTGTGAATGCTTGTTGAGTGGGCAAACAGATGAATGAATTAATTAATTACATGCACCAATCATGGTCAACATTTTGGCTGTTGCGTTCATTATTAATTGCATATAACCAAGTGTCTAATACCATTATGTGGCCCAAGAGAAATAGATTTTGAAGATGCAGAAACAGGGTTCCCCTTTATTTCCAAACCTGAAGGTGGCCTGCAAGAAAAGTATCTAGAACTAGATCACAACAGGGTAAAATATCTATTTGTTTCAGTTCCTCAAATCAATTCAAACCCCGTTAATACTTAATTTAATTCACGGGCCTTTTTTTTTTTTTTTTAACAAAGAACATTAACAGATATGTTATTAAGCTGTGGGGTCATTCATAATTGGTCATCTCTCTGTGAATTAAATTTTAAAAAGGAAAAGTAAAATCAAAGAATAATCAGATTTCCTATTTATGCAGGACAACTAAGTTAAATTATATTTACTTTCTAAAAATAGATTATTTTCTTAAGAAATAAACATTTATTTTGATCTCAAGTGATCTCAATATATCTTATATAGAGTTAACAAATACATTCCAGGTAATAGTATTATAGACTTAATAGATTTAGCATGCATTTAATGATGTTTGAGTGTAGAGCACTGAGCTGAGACCTGAAGGAAAACAAAGATAGATTGAACACTGCCTCTTCCCTAAAAAGGAGCCTGGAAACAATAGAAGAGTGTAAGCCTCGAGGGATGGGCTGAGCTAAGCTGATGATGGAACTTATTCTTCAAGATATCAAGTACTGAGGCATTTTGAAGTCTTGGTCTAGTGGCATGTCTAATGGTGGAGAGGCCTCCTGGGTCTGCAGAGAAAGCAGGATGTGGGATAAATGGCCACTTTAAAACCACACTTTCCTTATTAATTCCCAGCAGTGATGGGTACCTCGAGTGTGCCCCGATCTCCAGCTGCCACAAACAATGCTGTGGTGAGCATGTGATGACTCTCAATCCAATGACTAATGTTCTTATACAGAGAGAAGAAGACACAGAGGTGTGAAGACAAAGGCAGGTGATGAATTGCCAGGAGCCACCAAAAACCGGAAGAGGCAGGGAAGAATTCTTCCTAACACGAAAACAGCACCAAAGGGATGTTGCTAAACCATTCATGAGAAATTTCCCCCATGATCCAATCACTCCCACCAGGCCCCACCTCCAATATTGGGTATTATAATTCGACACAAGATTAGGAAAGGGACACAGATCCAAACTATAGCAAGTATCGAAGAATTGGGGGATCATATTTTAAAACCACCACAGTCAAGATACCGGTCTTGGGTCCCTTTCTGCAATTAGTTGAGTCTTCTTGAAAGAAGACCTTTACCTTACTAGTCCTAGGTTTTTTGCAAAGAAGATGAGGACATTGGGCCACATGGCTATCTAAGGATCTCTGATTCAATGTCCACAAATCACCACAGTGTTTAGGTATAGGAAAACTCTGCTGTAAGAGTTGTTTTAGTTTTTCAGTGGTTACATTGTATTGCGATCCCTTCACCCATGGCCGAATCCCTGTCCTCGTGCAGCTTATTTAGCTTGGCTGCAGTTTTAGGTCTATTTCAGAAATCCCCCTGAGTTCTGAAGGGGGCAGGGGAGACTAACTCCACTGCTGGGACACAGGCTCTGTTGTGCTGCCATCCCCTCCCTTGGGCTGCCCTGCACAAGGATTCCGTCAGGAGCAGCTTGCTCAGAATCTAAAAGAGTAGCTGCTTTGGTGTTCCAGTAGCCTCTTCTCCAAGATCTGTCTAAGAGAGCATAAAATATCCTCAAGTTAGGGAAGGGTATGGACAAGAGATGGAGGGATTTGCTCAGTACCTTTTATTCCCTCACTACAGCAGATGGAAGAGATGCTGCTGCTTCTGCCTTGTGATGCTAGAGGAACCAGGGAGATCAGGGAGGTTACTCCCTCATGCCAAAACCTGGAACACAAGATGAGAAACTCTTACCAAGACCTAATGTACACCTGTAAGGTGAGACATGAAAATGAAGCACCTCCTAAACTACCAAGAGCAGGTGGATCAACTTGGATGTGATTGCAGAATCCACATGACAGATTCTAGGCCTAACCATGATATAGGCTCAGAGTCATTTTCATTTTTGCCAATGGATGTTTGCAGGGCCCTCCTTCAGAGAGGGGTGATCAGAGGAGACAGGAAGAATAAGCCACGGAGAAGTGCTGACCTTGTTTATTGAGGAATTTCTGAGTGTACCGGAGGAATCACAACCCAGGGAGAAGTCAGACAGACATCTCAGAAAAATAATGCTAACAAAAACAAACAAGATTTTTACTGATCCTCTTCAATTTCCACTTGGATATATAACTGTATCATTTATAAGTTCGGCTTTCTTTACATAATAGATGAATTCCAAAGAAGTTCTATGGCTCTATGTAGAAATATTTTTCTAAATGTATTTTATAACATTTTAATGTGCAATGAAAAGTGTTTATTTTAAAAAGGCTTACTTGGTGCTGTTCTCATGATAGTAAGTGAGCTCTCTTGAGATCTTGTTATTTAAAAGTGTATGGCACCTTCACTCCCTCTCTCTTGCTCCTCCTACCACATGAAGGTGCCTGTTCCCATTCGCCTTCTGCCTTGATTGTAAGTTTCCTGAGGCCTCCCCAGAGGCCGAGTAGATGCCAGTATCATGCTTCCTGTATAGCCTGTGGAACCGTGACCCAGTTAAATCTTTTTTCTTTATAAATTATCCAATCTCAGGTATTTCTTTATAGCAATGTGAACTCTCTTATTGAGAAGACATCTGTGTGCCTTCTCCTTGAATCTGGGCTCTGTGATTGATTGACCAATGGAATATGACAGAATTGACAGCATAGAATGTTCCCAATTCAGGACTTTAAGAAACTGGGAGCTGCCACTTTCTGTCTCTTGGAACTCTTATTAATGGAACCCAGCAACCATGCTGTGAGGAAGCCCAAGCAGCCAATGGAGCGGCTAATGTGGAGAGAAATTAATGTCTTTAGTTTTCAGACCCCAGCTAAGCTCCCAGGCAATAGCAAGTCCCAATTGATCAGCCATGTGAGCAAGTCATTTTGGAAGTGGACCTTTCAACTCCACTTCACCCCAGTCCCACTTCATCCCAGCCCCAACTGGTGCTGCATGGAGCAGAGATGGGCCTTCCCTGCTAACCTCTGTTAAAATTGCAGATTAGTGAGTTAAATAAATGTTTACTTTTGGACATTTAACGGTTTTAAGCCATCAACTTTTGGGGTAATTTGTTTCATAGCAATAAATGACTAGAATACTTTCTGTCCAATATACTCCCTATTATAGCAACAACCAACATCTTCTCGAGAATGGGAGATGGGGCCAGTGGGTGAAGTACTACATCAGTGTTTCTTACTCTTAGCCAGATATCAGAATGATGTGAAAAGTTGTTAAAAATGCAAATTTCCTGACTATTTCAGCAGATCTTGGGTAGGTCCAAAAACCTGCATTTTTCACAAGTGTTCCAATTGTCCAAGAATACTGTATTGTCACAGGTTAATTAAATTATGGTTACTCTACTAGAAGAACAATTTCATTGACTAGAAATACTTTGGGAAAATTACAACTGTCCTTCTGCTATACTTTCTTTCATACCTTTATCATTTTGTAGTTTGCAAGAGAATGGTATTCTAGCCTCCTAGAAAGAAGAACAAAACGTTACATTAATGCACTAAATCATATTAGCTAAACTCCATAGCTTTGGAGTTGAGAGGCCTTTTGCCTTAAAGGTCTGCCATTCAAATTCTGCATGCTCAGGGCTGCCAGCCTACAACTCTGCCCTGTGTCCTCTCAGCTGCCTGTCGCTTACTGGAGACAGATGCAGGGTAGTAGGAGCACATACCCAAGAACCAGACAAACCTGGGTTCAAAGCCTGGGGGGCTTCTTGTTAGGTGTGTGACCTTTAGCAAGTCATCTTCCTAAGTCTCTGATTACTCATCCATAAGATGATAATAATCATGTTGCCTATCTCACAGGATTGCTGTGAGGATTAAATGACCACTATACATTAAGTGCTCAGTACAATGCCTGGCACAGTGTAAGGGCTCATTAGATATGTCCAACAAAAGATAAATACACATACATGTCACAGTACCTACATTTATACCTGGAGATGTGAAAATGGATAAAATCAGTGGTAACCCCACATTGATATGAGCCAGAGTCAAATCACTAGGGCACATTTTAAAAACACAGATTTCAAGGCCGCAGTCTCACTGATTCTGGGTCAGTAGATGTGCATGAGCCCAAGAATTTGTGCAAATAATTAGAAGGAACCATGAGGTCCGGGATCCAGTAGAACACTCAGAGTTTTTTGCTCTGGACCATGCTGAAGACCAGTCATCAAAATCGTCTGTGAGTTATTGCTCCATTCCAGCATATTTCCCTGCATTTTATGCAGCCCAACTGCAACAATGAGGCTACCATGCTCCTTAACAGATTTGAATGACACAGGCCTCCATGGGTTAGTCCTGTTTTTAGCTTCCAAGGAGACTGATTCTCTAGTCTTTCCAGGACAAGGAGTGAGGAAAACCCCAGGCACCTTGGCTTCCTTAACTTCTCTCAAAGCTTCACATTCGCCACCTCCACACCTGACCCTGCTCTCTACCCACAGAATAAAAGTAGATGTCACTACCCAAGATTTTAATTAATCGTCTTTCTATTTTTTTTTCCTTTTGGGTTAGACTTCTAAGTGTCTATCATGTTGATAGCACTCTAGGGAGTCTTTTGTTCTGAATAGGTGAAAAATTGTACCCACAAAAAGAGTTCCCCATCCGATCAATTCTCTCTAACAACTTTATTGATTAGCTGCAGGAACATTTTTCATTTATTAATTATGAGGAAGATGTTTCAGGGATTCCTTAAAGTTAACTATTGTGATTTTTTTTAAAAAAATACTGAGTTAACATTGACTGACTTGACTCAAACTGCTTAACAGGGCAGAGAGTCTTAAAGCAGGTATTTGGAGTCTCAGCGCAGGAAGCTATTAAGTGCCTGTGAGCATAGGCAGTGGTCTGAATCTTCATTTGGGGCTGATTAATTGATTACTTGAAAAAAAAAAAAACATGGCTTGTCCTTTTCAATAATGTGTTAGCATCAAAATATCATCCCATTATGATGTCCAGGCTGGTGATAGTTAATTAATTAATCGGTGCCAGTTAAAAACAATGTTCGACCCAGGTAAATCTTTCATTTATTAAAATCAATTTTGGTAATGGCTTTGCAAAGGGATTTGGGAGCAGAGTCAGAATATTGGCCAGCTCCTCCTTCCCTCCCCTTCTTCTCTCCCTCTTCTCCCCCTCCCCCATTCCTTCCCCCACCTCACCTCCCTAGTCCATCCAGCTCCCCCTGACTCTGGGGTTGGCAGGTGTCTATTAGCACCCCATTCAGCAGTGTGGGTCAGAGGCTCCCTGGGCTGTGGATATTCTGTCGGTTGCAGGCTGGCTTCCTCCTCCTCCCCACGAGTTACTTAGCAGAAAACAATCTGAGAGCAGACATCCCTGCCAGCTTAATTCCCAAGGCTTTCTGAGGAAGAATGTTGGGCTGCTCGGAAGAGAGGGAACCTGTACCAGGAAAACAAATTCTTGCTCACCAGTAGTATCCCCAGCCCTGTCACTCACCATATCCTTGCTAGACAACATTCATAGCAAGTAACCCTAATCATGAAAGAAAGAAAAAAATGCATCCAACTTCATGGGTGAACCAGGCACTGTGCTGGACACAAACATGAATAGGGATCCATCTCTGCCCTCAGGGTGATTCCAGTCTATGGAATCAGTCTTTTTACAGTTCTAGCAGAACTGAGGAACATGCAGGAGGAAAACTGGTGATGTGTATTAATCTGTTTTGATGCTGCTAATAAAGACATATCCGAGACTGGGCAATTTATAAAGGAAAGAGGTTTAATTGACTCAGAGTTCCACATGACTAGAGAGGACTTACAATCATGGTGGAAGCAAAGGAGGAGTAAAATCACGTCTTACATGGTGGCAGGAAAGAGAGCCTTTTGCAGGGGAACTCCCCTTTATAAAACCATCAGATCTCATGAAACTTATTCATTATCACAAGATAATGGGCATGGGAAAAACCCGCCCCTATGATTCAATTACCTCCCACCAGGTTCTTCCCACAACACAAGGGGATTACAGGAGCTACGATTCAAGATGAGATTTGGGCAGGGACACGGACAAACCATATCATGGCACATGGATAAGATTAGGACAAGAGGAGATTTCCTCAGGTGCTTCAGAGGAAAAATGGATTTGAACCCAAGTAAAAGGTTATATAAAAAGGTATTTCTCACGAGGAATAGGAGACAGTAAAAATGAATTTGATTGGTGAATGTGGAATGATGCCAGGGAAAATGAAAAGGGAGTAAGAGGCAAAACCAAACCGAACCCCAAAATCCTTGTGGCTGCTCAGGGAGCTCACGGTGGAGTTTGAGGTTTTGGGGAGCCCTGGAGTAGAGTGGGCCATAGATTAGTGGTCAGGGTGGAGGGCTGAGTCAGAGGAGCTTGGGGTCCTGAAGAGTCAAGTAGAATATCAAAAGCTTTGAGCCATGTGTTTGATGTAAAAAGATAAATGAGGGGGGAGGAACGCAGATTTGAGAAGACTGATATGGGAATATAATGCCACAGGGCTGGTCTGGGTTCTCCAGCAAGAATCAACCTTCCCAGGACTGGAGAGAGCTCAGCAGAAGGGAGGCAGTGAGGGACACAGTGGGCATGTGACCATTTAAAATAGGTTGAAGTCTCCAGAAAAGTTACATCCCAGGCTCCTCAAAAAACTTGCAAATGTGACCTTAAAACTACTTACTGTGTTCAGAAATTATGGAAATGAGGATAGGAAAATAATGTATTGGCAAAAGTTCCCATTCTCAAATAAAAAGAAAGTGTAGATTCTGGAAACCATA